TACATTAACACATGCATATTGATTATTAAAGGATAGATTAAGGGGTGAGACAAGATGTTTCTTGACAAGGCCTAGCAAAGTGAAGGATAGAAGTATTTATGACAGTGATAAGTAAGAAACAAGTAATTTAAACACTCATTTGACCAGTCACTGGTATTCTTCCCGCTTTATAGAGTTTTGTTTCATTTCCAGACAAATATTTTGTCTATCAAGCTTAATGAACCCTCTGTTGATACAAAAATTGGCTCGACATTTGACACCTCTGAAGTCTCTGAGCAGATGAAGTCAAGTGGCAAAAAAAGAGATCAAGTTGGATCTGTGATAATTTAATCATAGTTTATTATTTGGGTAAAATCCTTCTTTAAGTCTTCTTAACTCCTGTAATCTTCTAAACATTTAACTATTTCGACGAATATTGGTCATTTCGATTCAAAAACTGAAGCCTAGTGCCTCAATGAATAAATAGAATGCTTACTTCCTCTTTGGCTGGAAAATTGAATTAATCGGTGTGGAGATTTAAAACTTCATTTCAATGGCTAAATAGTCTTTTTTAGGTCAATTTATGATACGGAGATAAACGGAGCGGGGCACCATTTACTTTGACCATGTTATGCCCAAAATAGTTTCATATCACCATTACAATCATTTGAAACTCTTCTTTCACTTTCAATTTTCCTTATTTTATCTACTAACTGCTTTTAAATGGATTTCGTATTCAGAATCTATTCAGATCTAAAACGAGGCTTATTGTTGACTTAATAAAGTAAAATATTACCAATTTTCTTACTGATCCACATTTAAGATCGTATACTAGATGATGCGCAAGAAGTCTTTTAGCGGCAGATCACCATTAAATTTACTATTACGACTTTTTATTCCGCCCCTCTAACTATATTATTATTTTGATTTATATCGAGGCTTATAAATAAAGTGCTCAATTACACTTGTTCACTCATTAAAGTGGCTAAATTCTCTCGGTACAACTCATCTTATTTAATTCATATATTCATGTCTTATCATATGGTAGCTGGCTTTTTGATTTTATATTAACATGGGCTTTTGGTGCGTTAGTACTGTTTAAACAATAGAATATAATTTGCATCTTACATGTTAGCAGCACAGCCACTCGACATTTTTTGAACGGCGTTGTTTGCAGCTAAACTACTTATTCATCTTATTGTGGGATTCTTAAAAAGCAAAAGGGTGCCACCCTATGGTAGTGCTAAACTCAGGTTACTTCAGGTGGAATTTCCGTCATCAGATACAACTAATCTTTTTACAACCACTTTTATTCTGTTGCGATAGAACTTTTCTTAACGCATTCACATATGCATGTTTGAACAGTTTTATAGGTGTATCTATTTTTAAATCGCAATCTTTTACATTCACACTTTTGGTCTCTTTTTGTCAGTCCCAACTTGCGAGTCAGACAGCCAAACTGAGAAATTTAGAGCAACAACTACCATCTTTTGAGGTTGCAGCTCCCGTGACCGGCACGGTCTGCAGCCCACTTCCGGTGGCATGTAAAGGTCAATCAGCTATGAACGAAGAGATGGTAGCTCAGCTAGATCGCTTGAATCGTCTTCAGCGTCAATACGATGTGCTGCGTGCTGCCTACTTGTCGGCTTTGGTTTGCCCATCTGCCGGCAAACCATCAGAATCAGCTTTCATTGACGAGGCAGGCACTTTGAGAAAAAATGGCAGCAAATGTAATAAAGAGATTATTGCTGCTTGGCAATCTGATGGGGAACTCAGGACTCAGGCGTCTGTAAACCGACTGTTAGAGGAAATCGCACGATTGCATGAGGAAAATTCAGTAAAGACTGAACAAATAGATGCGTAAGTGTCATCGTTTTTTACCCAAACTCATCTTTAACTTTATTGCGTACTATCCTAGAGTGTATAATTTTCAGATTTCGTCTTAAGTGTATTGCAGCTAGTACTAGTTGCTATTAGTACTAGTAACTTGAACTAGAATAGCTCTTGACTCATTTAATGCATTTACTACCTAATGCCCAAGACTATCAAATGTGTTGTGAATTTACTCTTGTAAATCTAGTGTGAAATTCAGCTTCTTATGAACTACCTTGATACCAGTTTGCTATTAAGCATAACTTGAAATTTATAATAAAGTATGAGAAACGTCATAAATCAATGTTGTGGTGCATTATACATTTTGCGAATTTCAATATGTCTAATACAGCCATAATTGTATTATACTTTTAATAAATACGAATAAAATTAAGTTCTTTGTTCTTAGGACATAGCATAATAGAGTT